ATGAAAGGAGTCTGCTCTCTTGAGGCATCCACATGCTGGCTGAGAAGAAAAAAACCGTTGATTTTAAGGTGTGGTACAATGTGGTAGATGCTTTGACAGGTAGATAGGTGCAGTGCTTCAGGAACCCAGAAGAGGGAGGCAGAACTTCTAGTTATTATTTGGAAGCTTGTACATTGTTATGCCTTATACATTGGTTGTATAGTCCCAAAGACTTTGATCGCATGTTTATAGATATTCCTTATATTAACATGTTTTGGAATTTTCTACATCATCCCTCAGTTCCTGGGAGGCAATGGGACTTACAAGTTAAGAGTAGGGGACCTGTAGGTAGGTAGACTTGGATTTCAAATCTGGGCCCCTGCCTGACCTTCCAGCTGGGTGACTGAGATAAATCACTTAGACTTCCACAACCAGAAAGCAGTGTGCAAGTGCTGGGGTTAAATGACGTGATGGATGCAACACCTTTAATGCTGCCTGGCATGTAGTAGGCGCTTATATATGTGTGTGTATATATATATAAAATGTGATTGATTATAGCTTTTTTTTGGTGGTGGTGGTGGCAGTGACATGAAACTTGTTTTTATTGAGCTTCACGTGACACACACAGACTAAGTTGCTGAATTTTTAAAAATGTGATTTATTGGTATAAAAACCATTTATACATTATATAAATACAATATAAATATTTCTTTAAAAAATATGTATAAGTTAGCCATTTATTTGAGGTAAGCCTACACTTTCCAAGAAATGATCTGGCTCTGAAACAAAGGATATTCAAACTACATAGCCACTTTCCATTATTATTTCAAAACTAATACATAAAATATTTCAAGTGGTACTTCATAAAAATATAAATATCACTTACATAAATTAGCTCAGCTTCACATATTTAAATATTAATAAATTAAGAATAATTAAAATAGTGTCCTAACGCTCATACTTTTAGTTCTCCATAGAGAACAACATAAGTTCTGTGCCCAGTGGACAGGTTTCTGACCAGAAGAAGGAATGTCGATGAACAACAACACTCTGAGGTGCCCATGTTACATTTGCCGAAGAGCCCTCAGGCTGGACTGCAGGAACTCCTTAAAGCTGCGCAGGATGAGATGCGTCGTCATGTCCTGCAGCCACTGGTTCTGTGCCTGCAGCTTCGTCAGCAGGCTGGCATTTGTGGTTGGTTCAGGGGTGGTTATTGCATCTAGATTCTTTGCCTGAAGGAAAATGAAAGCAAAAAGGATTGTTTAAATATTGAATAAATCCTTTGCAGTGGAGGGATGCTCTGGGCTATGGGATGATGTTCAAATGTGAAATGTGGGGTGAATGAGATTAACTGGGGTGCCTGCTCTGAGTAGGATCCTTCCATAGCAATGAACTTCTTCTTTTTTTTTTTTTTTTGAGGCAGGGCTCACTCTGTCACCCAGGCTGGAGTGCAGTGGTGCACAGCAACCTCCGTGTCCCGGGTTCAAGCGATTCACGTGCCTCAGCCTCCTGAGTAGCTGGGTTACAGGTGTGCGCCACCATGCCTGGGTAATTTTTTTGTATTTTTAAGTAGAGATGGGGTTTTACATTGTTGGCCAGGCTGGTCTTAAACTCCTGGCCTCAAGTGATCCACCCACCTCAGCCTCCCAAAGTGCTGGGATTATATCAGCACTGTGCCTGGTTCACAGCAACTAACTTCTAATCATCCCTTTGCTGTTCTGTCTCCCATTAGACCACAAACATCCTGAGGGAAGCACCACTATCTTTTTGTTTGTTTGGTTTTGTGTTTTTGTAGCAATGGGGTCTCGCTATGTTGTCCAGGCTGGTCTTGAACTCCTGGCCTTAGGAGTTCAAGGAGTTCTCACCTTAGGCTCCCAAAGTTTAGGGAATACAGGCATGAACCACCAAGCCTGACCAGCATCACTATCTTATTTGTTTGTATTCTGTCATATGAAATAATGCCTGGCACATAGTTCATATTTAGTATATGAATGAAGAACCCATACTTAAAGGCATTTTAATATGAGTTCTTCAGTGGCCTCTAAATCTAATACTTTTCTCCAGTTTCCCTCTCACCATCCCTTTAGGATCTGTCGAAAGACCAGTGATCTGGTGGTGTAAAGAGGACTAGGAAACATCTTTCCATAGACCCACCAGATGGGATAAGTAACTTGTGGAAGGCCTCAAACCTCCAAGTGTGGTCCTGGAATTCTGCAGCATCACCAGGGATATAAGCCTGCTAGAAATATGACCCTCAAACCCACCCAAGGCCTGCCAAGTCAGACTCTACACCACAACAAGATGCCCAGGGAATTCCCATGCACGTTCACATAGGAGAAACCCTGGCTTAAGGCAAACAAGTAGAAATGGCAGAGGCAGGATCAGCACCAAGGGTTTCCTTCTAGGCCCCTACTTATTGAGCTTTGGCTCCTCCACATGCTAGCCAGCAACTCTTTACTCCCTGCTGTTTGAATAGCCAGCTACTGGTGGCTAAAGCCCTTGGTACCTCTTTCCAGCCTTGAGTCTCTGACCGTTTCTCTGAACTAACTCTCTGGTAAAAGGTAGGAAAAAGAGTTGAAACAACTACAATGAGAAGAATGCCGCTTGACAATAACTAAAATCTTAAAATCATTTTATGCCCCTTGGTTTTTGTTTCTGTGGATCACTGGGTGGGGATGGATGTACTTCTTTCTGCCCCCTCCCCTTTTTTTTTTTTTAATCTCTTGCACTATTAAAAATTGATGTTAAAATCCACCTCAGTTAATATAGTTTAAAGTATAGTTATTGATGTCCTTTGCAGAAGAGAGCCAACCAAACAAAAAAAGATTTAACAGTAACTATCAGAAACTATTTCTCAGACTTTTTTGTTTACATGTAGCCTTCTCTTTTGGAAGTGGCACTGCATCCCTGACTTGTCCAGGACACTGTCTTTGAGCCTGTCTTCTCCCACACCACGGTGAGGGAAGGAGGACACACCCACCTTTTTCTGCAGGAGCTGGATCAGGACTTTTGTACTCATTTGCACAGCTCTGGCTTGCTCCTCACTACTCTCAAACCTGTTCTGGAGGTACTCTAGGTATACCTCAAACTCCAAAAGACCAGTGATGATTTTCACCAGGCAAGTGTCCTAAGAGGAAAGATGGTGGGAAAATTGGTTATCGCCAGGAGGTAGAATCAATTTGAAAAGTTAAAACTGCCACAATTTGACATATTTTCCCCCTGCTCATCTAGAGAACTTCAAGTACCTCTTAGGCAGCATGTTTTGGGACATTGGACAGCATCATTTTAAATAACCAGACAATCAGAGGCCCCATGTAATTAGTTTTACCCAAAGCCCAACACATGCTAGAATGTGGCAGTGGGGATTCTTCTCTGATTCTCCCCCTTGATGTTCTTCCTACACTCTTGCCCTTGTCAATGCTGGGCTGGAACCTCCTTTTATAAAATAATCAGAAGTCAGTGCAGGTTATCTCACTGTGGAGAATGAGCTGGGCATGGAGGGAGGGCAGACCTGGACCCTGCCAGGGGCAGCCAGAGAGGGAAAAGGCCCTGAGACCACCTTACCCAGGATGAACTAATTAAACCTGTGGGAGTTTTAAACATTTGACAGTTGTTAAAATCTCAACATGGTGGGACCATCTCTGGCCATACCTGTCCAAGAATAAACTACCTTTAAAAAAGCTTGAAGTTGGCCTCCTCATGAAATTTGCATAACATTCTTTACATTTACCCCCTTTTTATTGCTGCCTGGATCTATATGTATACAGGCACTGCAAGCAAGAGGGTGAAGTTTTGCCTAAGGAATAGTGAAAAGTGAGTGTGACAAGTTGGTACCTCATTGAATCCAGATTGGAAGCATCCATCTTTTTCAGCCATCTTTGGAAGGTTCAGGTTGTTTTCTGCCAGTGCCTCTTTGCTGCTTTCACACATGTTACTCCTGTTACATGTCTGGGAAAGAATACCAGAATGGTTATCACCTAAGTGCCCCTATAACAAACACCACTAGAGGGCCTTTGCATTGTTCAACCACAGCCAGGAAAGTCTCTAAGAAAAATGAAGCCACAACTCTTTGGCATCCTGGCAAGCAAATTCCAGTGGAGTGGGGGCACACTTGGGTTCAGTTCCAAGCTCACCTGTGACTTCAGGTGTGTTACTTAATCCTGAGTCTCAGTTTCCTTATCTCCAAAAACCTTCCTTGCAAATTTTGAAGATTAGACACAATACTTATTTAAAGTGCCTGGCACACAGTAGATATTTAATAACAGCAATTTTGACAATAGTTAGGTGAATATAATTCAAACCATAGAATGTTCCAGCTGGAAGGACCTATGAGATCACCTAGTCCACCCCCAGTTTTACTGATGGAGTCCAGAGGTGGTAGGGAATTTACCCAAGATCACGAGGCTGGTTTGGCAGAACCAGAATTCGAGTGTGGGCTCCCAATCTCCTCTCCTGTGTTCTTTTCTTTCTACCAAACAGGACCAAAATATCTTGCATTGAAAGTGGGGAGGTGCTTTAACCTATTTATTATTTGCCACTTTGGTGGGCTCTGAGGTATGAATCTTAGCTGGAATGGCTTTGAGGAATCCTAACCATTGAGTTTACATAAGCAAAAAGTACTGCAACTGCTCTGAGAAGCTGAACATACCTTTCAGGTGGCACTTTTCTAGTCCTTCCAAAGCCCAAGGGACAAAAAGGAGCTTAACAGACCTTATTTTTTGGAAAGGGAAAAGGAAGCCCTGAGAAGCAATGACCCTCAGCTCATGCCAAGGGTGGGCATGGGTTTCAGACCCATTCTGCATTTTCCAGAAAGGAAAGGAACCTCCTGAGACCAGCAAAGGATAAATACAGAAGTCAGTCTAGTCGGCCCCATTGGCCTGAAATCTACAGTGCCCTAGAACCCAGCAAAGACCTCCTAATGCGGGCAGCCCCAGTCCACAGACAGGGGCAAGGGGAACGCATGCGCACACGGGCCATTCAGCCCCTTTGCCAAGCCTACCCACCTCCTTTCTCAGGGCTGAGATGCCGTCGAGGATGTACCGAATGTGTTTGTCAATTCGTTCTGAAGAGGTCAGTGGCTGGCTGTGTGGGGCGGCTACATCTTTGGAATCTTCTCCTGGGAGTACTGGGGCGGGGAAGGCAGCAGGCAACACCAGGAGCAGCCCCAGGGAGAAGGCAACTGGACCGAAGGCGCCTGTGCCGGAGGGGAGCGAGCGGCGGGGTGAGCTGACAGCACAGCTGGGAGCCTGCCTCTGCTGCTGGCCACCCGCCAGCCCTCCCTGGGCCACACACCCCTCCCTCACACAGGGCTCGACCGCCGCTGGCCGTTCCAGGGCTAGGGATTTCCTGCACTTACTTGTGGAGACGGAGTTCATATCTGGGTTCCTGGAGGGCAGATAGAGCTTCTCTTTCGTTCCTGGTGGGCTCGAGGGCAGAATGAGCCTCAGACATCTCCAGTCTCATATTTATTGGGGGTTGAGACTCTAATATTGAGACTCATGGGAAAATCCCACATTTGATAAATCTTTGTTGGAGGGTTAGGGTGGGGCCAGAGCGGGTGGGGCTGATTGGAAACATTAAGATTGTGCAATGTGACGTCCTTTAGCATCGCAAGACTCAACTAGGGGGAAAAGTGCAGCTTAGGTCGTCACTGAGGCTAGCGCTAAGAAGCAGAATCACTCTTCCTTTACTTTCTTTTTTTCTTTTATTAGTGACTCAGCACTTTGGCATGTCTTGACAGAGTAAAGCTGAAGTCATGCACGAAGTTTTACAAAGAGAAAAAAATAAGCTAAAGCTATGTTTTTTGAAAAAAAAAAAAAATTCAGTGACCAGATTAACAGGCTAGAATTTGGCATTCCAGTTAATTTGTATTTGTAAAAACCGAAGATGTTCTGAACTGAGTTTCCTCTGACTGCATCGCAGCCCCCCAGCCTGGAGTTAGGAAGAAGGTAATGCTACCAGTCGTCTGAGTTCTTCTGTGTTCTGGCTCTCCCTGTGAGCAGCTGTTGTACAACTGCCTGGCCACCCTCAAATTTCGTGCAGTTACTTCAAGGCGTCTCCAGGTGGAGTGTGTGACTCCTTTTTGCCACCGCATGGCTTCTGCCACTTTCCTCTTCACCTGCTTCAACCCACTTAGAGGAGGTTGGCTGCTACCCTGCCCTCTCCCAAGTGACCCCTTGGGAATCCTGCCAGTGAGGACTTTGCTCTCTGTGCCAGAGGCTTGCCTTGTGCTGCCAGTGCTCTCCCCATTGCCACCTGAGTCTCTTCACCACTGTTCCACTGGGTCTCCTGCAGCCCTGAAATTACTAAAGCCCACTTGGTTCAGGGCAGAAAGGGGGAGAATACAACTCACCTCTTTGTTGGGGATGTCAAAGAAGGACCTTGTGGCATCTTCTAGAGCTTGTGTTTATAGCTCCCTCTCCCTGTAAGTCTTGATTTGAAATCAGAAGAAGCTACAAGGAAAGTACGGACGTAGGCACGGCTCTGGGCTCTGAACCTGCTTCCCCACTGGCACCCAAAGATTTCTTATTGGGTCAAGCTTGTTCAGAAGCTGTCTTCCCTCAGAAGGTGTCTCTTGCAGGAGGATCCTTGGTCTTATGCAAATGGGCTCTAGACTAGGCTGTCCCTGCAGTCTCCAGAGACCCAGACAACTCTGAGATAGCTTCAGGCTGAAACCAGACCCTTGCACAAAACCAAAACACTTATTTACCAAACATGGTGTTAACTTCACAATCGGTTTCTTTGCTTTGCTAAGAAGAGATCTCTTCAAGATCGATAAAACAGTGACCTCTGTTGGGCATTTACTCAAGTTTTGTTTTGTGCATAACATTTCAGGACCCGCCTGTTGGGGAAAGTGAGGTCATCCATTCTTCACCGATTGTCTAAACAGAGAGACAGTGGTCTTCTGCCGCGGTGGGATTTTTTGGTGTGAAAATGAAAATGGGGGAGGATGGCTCGATGGTTTCACTTTTAGTGCTCTCTGGTCTTAAGCAACGTAGACGCTCCTGAACCAAGTTCTCTTTCCTGCATGAAACGAAGTCACTGCTCTCAGCTCCGCAGCCGTGCGTTGTGTTCTGTCTATGTAATGTGAGATTGCTTTTGCTCAAATATCTATTTTTTAGAAAATACAATTCAATAAATTTCAAGTACTTGAACTGAGTGACATAATACAACACACAGATTTATCTTTTCAATAAAAAGTGTTTTTTAAAATAGGAAGTTCGTGTTCATGATAAAATGTTCAAATAGGACATCAGGGCATACAGGGAAAAATGTCTCCTTCCTATCCTGGCTCCTTTTTTCAGAGGTAGCACCTAATCGCCTGTATTTTCAACCAAACCCTCTGTTATCCTAGCCTGGGAAAGATTTTCTCGTCTTCCCAGCTGTTTGATCCTGGCTGTTACATCAGGGATCTGTGCCCTTGTTTGTTCACCTATAAAACGGGGGTAATAATAGTTCTTCCCTTCTAGGGCTGTTGTGAACATGGAACATGATGGAATATAAAAAAAATCCTGGCGCATAGTAATCCCACAATACATGCTAGCTCTTTGAACATTCCTTGGCTCAGAGTCTCTGCCTTGGAGAACTCTTCCAGCTCGGCTCTATCAGTTCACCTGGTGTCTTGCCTATGAAGGAATTAGGACTGAGCCAGGCTTCTGTACCAGCAATGAGCTGGTCTCCAATCATTTTCCCTAGAAAGAAATGAGATTCTGTGTTTTGTTGAAAATGCCTTATGGCACAAAGTGCAAAATGAAAAATAATAATAATTTTCTCTCTTTTTTGAGAACATTAAGACCCCCAAACCAGGTCTCTTATTTTAGATAATTAGTCCAGCTTGTGTCTTGCTCCTACTAGACTTTTTTCAAGCCTTCCGCTAAGTGTTTTTATGTCAGAAGTCCACAGCCTTCCCTGTGCATGGTGATCGCCATTAATTCAAACTTCTGAGAGTGGCCCTCGAGGGTGAAGGGGCCTGATGCTTCTGGGGTCAAGAAAGGGCAAACTGTGGGAATGCATGCATGTAGGGAGCCTGGGGACGCTGTCTGCCCCTGCACATCACAGCATGGCACTTTATTAGTATCAATGCCTTGGACTGGAATTTGCTTGTGGGAGAGATGAGCTCTCCCTTGCTCCAAAAACGTTAATGTAACATGCGCAATTCCGCAATGATAGTTTCCCTCCTTTGCATCTCAATGGATTTTTTGCTTGGAGAGCTCATTCCTTGTTTTTTCTTGTTTTGTTTTGTTTTTTTCTCTTGAGAAGGAGTCTTGCTCTGTCGCCCAGGCTGGAGTGCAATGGCATGATCTTGGCTCACTTCAACCGTCCCCTCCCAGGTTCAAGCAATTCTCTTGCCTCAACCTCCTGAGTAGCTGGGACTACAGATGCACGCCTGGCTACTTTTTGTATTTTTAGTAGAAACGGGGTTTTGCCATGTTGGCCAGGCGGGTCTTGAACTCCTGACCTTAGGTGATCCACCTGCCTCGGCCTCCCAAAGAGCTAGGATTACAAGCGTGAACCACCGTGCCCAACCCCTCGTTGTTTTTAAAGGGCAGTTTTAGGTCACAGCAAAATCGAGAGGAAGGTACAGAGATTTCCCATATATCCCTCCTCCCTGCAACTCTCCCCTGTATTTTAGTATGCATACGTGACCAGAAGAGGCTGTGCTGTCAGCATTTATTAACTAAATACTTTAGTTGCTGGATTGCATCATAGCTGATTTGAAGCGAGCACCAGCTGAGATCAAGAGAGTCCGGACAAATGGGAGTGCACAGGGAGGAAGCAGCAACTTGGCTTCCTATGCCACCCGTGTAGGACTGGCATGTCCTATCTGGATCTCCCAGAATTACCACCCATGACTGCTTTCCTACATAGTGGTAGAGTCCAGTTCAGAATCTAGTAATACATTTAAGACCAAGGGGGAAAAGTAGTTTCCATTTGGTACTTAAGCTCTCAGAAGGAGAAGTGTTCTCCACGTTTCAGGAGTTAAGATGTAGTGTTGTGCTCTTTCTCTATATTCTGGGGGTTGGAGATGGATGAGTCTGTGATTTAACAGGAGGGGGTACAGCAAGAAAAAACGGGAAGTCCGGGGTACTAGGGAACTTGCAGTTGCTGTCAGAATGTAGTTTCGCTTGTCACCAAGTCGTAAGAAGTTTGTAAACTGAAACAGTGGGTGACTTAACAGCTTCTTCTGGGATTGAGTCCCACTGAGCAGACACCAGGCTTGAAGAAGGCTCTGGGAAATGTCCTGCTTTGATGGTGGTATTACTTGAAGAGAGAATATTAGGGACATGTGGTATGTCAATTTGGAAAGCGCCAGCTCATGTTGGAGGGCAGCCAGACCTGGTGACCAAAGCTCTTGACAGTTTCCTGCCTGGTCTGGTCTCAGTCCTGGCTTTGCAGCCTCAGCTCTGATGTCCTGTTGTAGCTCCTTGGTCTGATGAATTCTTGGTCTGGCCTCAGCTTTTCTGATGCGGAGGATGTGCAGGGGCTGGACCTAGCTCCTCCTAGACTAGGGAACGGACACATCTGCCCTGCTGTGTTTCTGATTCAAAACTCTATAGGGAGGTCATCTGTTCTGTGCCCTCATTATTTTGCTGTGTGACTTACCTTCCCCCTGCTGAAGTGGAAAATCTCAGGCATCTTGGGAGGGAAGTAGCCTTTCCCGGGCAAGAAGTGTAGACTCTCTTTGCCTTGGGATACCCCTATACCCCTTTCCCTGGGTCTCTAGGCCTGGAAGAGAGTGCCCTGATTGCAGACTTTTCTGAAGCTGGTTTGCTGATGAGAAAAATTGCTTTGCTGATTCTGAAGAAGCCCCATTTGGCCCTGCCCCCATGGCTGGGTAGGTCCCTCAGACTGAGTTTCAGTGCTTTGCCTCTTCTCCATCTGTGGGATAGGCTTTCTATGGTGGTGGCTGCTGGTTCTGCTTTATAATTAGGAAACTTCCATTTGTCAGCTAGCAGTAATACGTTCATTTATTATCACGAGTCATTTGAGCCATCTTTGGTTTCTCCAAAGATCTCAGTTCTCTGAGTTCAGTGTCATAGGCAGAAACTAAGCATGCAAAGCATTGGCTGGTTTCCTCTACTCTTTTCCCTCAAAATTAAGGTACTAAGAACCCATTTGAAATCATCACATGTAATGGCCAGACCAGGGGATTCTACTGGCCTGGTTATGACGTCTTTTACCTCCCTTCCCTGCCCTTTTGGTTAGTTATTTGCTAGAGAGTGTCTTAGTCCCTCTGAACTAGCAAGCTGAATCCATGAAGAGGGTTAGGCTATTCTAGTCTTCATGGTGGAATAATTTCCACGACATGCTTTGGACATGTTGAGGACTCTGTAATTCTGAGACATTGGGATCCATCATTTCTGAAGATGGGTACACCTGGATTGATTTAAAATGTTACGGAAGAATTCAGATCAGGTAAGCGAGTCAAAGAATCATAGGCAATTTCTTCAAGCTATTGAATTCTATGTTGTGTGTACCTATGCATGTGTGTGGATGTGTGTGGCACAGAGTGGAGCCCTTGGTCTATAGACCTACCATAGATATGGTTCCAAAGGGCGCTGCCCACCTCATATGAGTGTGGCCTTACAGGCCTGGGTACCCAGGAAGCCTGGACCGGCCATCTGCTGTCACTTTTCTCCCAGGCCTGCAGCTCTTCCTGTGCTACTGGATCTGTACAGTGGTCTATGTTGGAGCCACATTACTGTGTCCCCCAAGGGCACTGTGGGATTCCCTGTATTTCTCACCCTGGAAGCCATATTTTCTATGTGCTACTTTTCTATGGGTGAGACAGGGGTTGGGGAGAGGTGGGGACAGAAGGGAAGTCACCCATCAGCTTGGAAAGTGATCTGGATGTGTGGAAATGGCTTCCTATTGCCAAAGGCTTGTTTGGGGGCTTGCTGCCTAAGCAGTTGCCATCAAGCCTCAGATCCTCCTATCTCTTTAGGACAACCAATAGAGAGGCTGTCATGCCCACTTCTTCTCTGTGTTAAGTTTGTTCACCATGGGCCCAGTAAAACTACTGAAGACACCAGTTATGCAGTCAGGGGCAGGGCAGGTGTCAGACGGAAATTTGGGTCCTGGGCTGTTTCTGTCTGACATTGTGTGGGCACTCAGTTGGCCAGGCTTGTAAAAGCCCTGCTGCCCTTCTTGACTTCATTTAGATTGCAGAATTCAGAAGGAAGTGGGGGTTTTATACTGCCAGCAAAAAATTTTGGCTGAATGTAGGGTTTCCCTGAATTAGGCTTGTCTTTTTACTGCATTGCCAAATCCTTGGCTTCTTGTGTTTGGGGAGTGTAGCTGTTGGCAGATGAGACTGCTCAGATGACGATGAACTGCGGATTTGGGGCAAAGTACTCTCCCACCTTAGGGGTTTGCTGAATTCCTTCCTAGCTCCAGGATTCTGTGGTTCTGTGGATCTTTGTAAGCCATGCTTATTAATCAAGAACCTACTCTTAATGGGACTATAGGAACAGGAGTCTCTAAATTAAGAAATACTTTTTGAAAGCCCAAAGCCTGATGCTGTCTTCTAGTTCCCACCCAAGGGCCTGTTAGTGGAAGTGCTTTGACTGGGCAGGGTGCCACCCATTTTGACATGCCCACATCTTGGTGGCCTCAGGGAGACTAAACTGATTCAGGAGATGCTAGAGCCCTGGTAAGGGCTGCCACCTGAAAGGAGGTAGCAAATTTCTTAATTATTATACAAGCTTAATTATTATACAATTAATTATTTCTTAATTATTATACAGGCCGTCCCAGGCTTCCTGGGTACCCAGGCCTGTAAGGCCACACTCATATGAGGTATTCAAATTAAGTGTTTTTAATTTAAAAGCAAGTAATACATTTTCAATGTAGAAAGCAGAAAAGAGAGATAAACAAAAAGAAAAAAATTATAAAATACATAATCTTAGTACCCAGTAGTAATCATTGTTATTACTATGGTATAATCATTCTAGTCATTTTTACATTTTTTCATATGTATCTAGGTGTAATGGGAAAATGTCATCTATGGCGTTTGACAATCTGCTTTCCCTATTTATACTCCTTTGTATGCGTAATGTTCTGGATAACTCTGAGTAGAGGCGAGGTGAATAATGGCTATAGGTATACCAGTCAGAGTTCAGAGGGGAAACATCAAGTGAGGTTACAGATGACTCCTGCATATGCACACGATTCACTTGTTAAGGCACGGGGAAAGAGTTTATATCTTAATGGGGATA